AATCGGGACGTATGTCGCTGGCTGGATCGGTCTCGCAGAGCTTGTTTTTCAAAGTGGTCGGAGGCTTGGCTCCCTTGCAACGTATCAACGTATGGCATTTATTATTTCGGGTGGATGGTTTCTTCGTTATTCGTTCGTGGGCGGTGCGTTTGAGGTTTGTTGCTGCAGGATACAGTGTGGTACGTACTACGTAGTACGTGATAGTGTTTTTCGGGCATATTATGTATTTATATTAAAAATTAATGGCAAAGTAATGATACCCTAGCATTTTTAGAAAAAAATAATCATAATTATTTGTCAATATCTTTTAATTTATTGCGATGAATAGCCCCAACTTTTATTGGTGGTGAGGTGTCCAGGAGTTATCATTGACGTGGATACCCCCCCATCCTCTAAAAGTACAAGTGAACACGAAATTCGCTAGTCAATTGTTGCTGAGACTGACGATGTCTGCTATAGTAACTGACGAAATGATTGGTTCAAATTCCATTCGGCCACGGTCTACTGGCCCAGATTGTGTTCACTCTAATTGTAGCGATTTGTTTACTTTACAGAAGTTTAGGAAATAAATATAGGGATGTCTTTCAGATATCAAATCATTTACCTTGCAATTCTATACCTGGTACACTGAAATATTTTCCATATAAAAAAGTTCAAATCAGGATCCAAAACTTAAATTATGTTTGCAAAAATGAATATCAAAGTTTATTCATGTAGGTTTTTCTTCTTTTTTTGCAGGTTGAATCTCGATTTCTTCACAATTAAGTAAAAACTCATTTATTTTAATAACAACTGTTTGTTAGTTTTGTGTTTTCTTTTCGGACGGAACTAGGCCCCCTCCTATTCATTGTCTACATGAACAGTATTTTTAGTGTGAATACAGAGAAGTAGTATTATAAGCATCGTTGATGACAACGTCATCTTCTACCAGTCGGACTCTTGGACTAATTTCAAAATGATGGTCGAAACTGATTTTGCCAAATATGGTGGTTCAGCTCACCCTCAACTTAGAAGAAAACAAATATCTACCAATCACTTCTCATTCATCATACTTACCTAATATGCGGCCATTAAAATACGGAAAAAATTATTAAATTCCAGAAGAAATCTCCATAAAATAACTGGGTGTTATTTGACGGGCATATGAGATGGGATCTCCAAATTCAAAACTCAGTGAGGAAACTGACAAGGTTTTTATACAGATTTAAATATCTGAAACATTTTTTAGATACAAAACACCTAAAAATAGTATACTAAGCTTTGGTTGTCTTATGGAATTATAGGATGGGGAAGTGTTACTGACTATTTCCTCAAAAACTTAGGTTAAATGTTATCCACAAGTGGATAGTAAAAATTATTTATAGGAAAAAAACCTCTTACTCGAGTGACAACATATTCAGAGTCTAAAGTACTGGATGTTAGACAGATTTTCTATTTCAATATCTTAATTGATGTACGAAAACGAAAAATTTTTACTGAAGCTGTCGATCACAGATATGATATGAGGAGACAAAATGAGCTATCTACATAAAAAAACAATAGGACAATGATGTGCAAACTATCTTGGACCTCGACTTCACAACATGGTACCTGAAAGCATTAAAAAATATATTCTTACACTTCATAAAGAAATATAATAAAACTTTGGATTATGCTTAATTAAAGAAAAATCTTCCATGATGCGGTGAATCAAAACTTTCAAAAAGCTGGAACCTACAAATACAAGATAAAAATGATACATTTTACAACACACTCTCCCTATTGTGACACAAAATCGTGATAATAAAAAACACACAGCACAACTGAATATGGCCAATTACCATCTATGTATTAGGAATCACACGTTAAAAGTTAAGACATTGTTAGTCCCTAGCTCGCACAAGTTTCGACTTTTGAGAGTTTTCGTTCGTAGGGGGGGGGACGACAGCTGAAAAAACATTTTAACAGGCAGATTTCAACATATGGCAATATACCCATAACAACGTACCCTACTATGACAACGTACCCAACTATTGCAAGACTCCCAACTATTGCAACACTCCCAACTATAACAACACATCCAACTATGTCAACACCAAATATGGCTCACATCTGAACAATATTTATCATTAACTTGAAGAACATATAATAAAATGCACACTAATTGATTAGAACTGGCCGATACTTGATGAAAATCCATATTTAAAAATCTAATAAATAGAGTTTATTCTATGATTTTCACTATAAGGGTTTTACAAAAACCGCGACACGTGTTTCGCTATACAATAGCTTCTTCAAGCAGTTACGCTTGAAGAAGCTATTCCAACAAATCTAAAGAAATGAACTTTAAACGTTCAAGCCAGTCTCGATGTACCTACACAATAGGTTGAATGGACTGACGCCTATCAGAAAACTACTCCCCTGGCCAATACCACGAAGGGCGTTGAATTATATCCGACAGGCGTCAGTGCAGGAATCTTCACAGAAAATTTCCTGCATATGCAATTGGCAATACAACTGAAAGAGTCAATCTTCAATTTTGGAACTGGCACACTTGCAGACCGGTTTCGGGCTCATTATCCACTCGTCAGTGCAAGATGGTGACTATCATCGACCTAAAGTCAATGATATTCCATAATTGAAAATCGGAATTCTTTCAGAGTATTTCATTCCTCTTCCGAAGTTGGAGCGAGCATCACAAAATGTCACTCCATCTAGTGGACGAGGTAGTAACCAACTGCATATCCGCAATTTGCCCGATTCCTCTGAATAAGGAAGAAAAACTTTCTTATTAGTCAGTGAGCTATGCTTGAAGACTGTATTGCCAATTGCATATGCAGGAAATTTTCTGTGAAGATTCCTGCAATGACGCCTGTCGGATATAATCGAACGGCCTTCGCGGTATTAGCCAGAGGAGTAGTTGTTTTCTGATAAGCGTCAGTCCATTCAACCTACCGTGTAGGTATATCGAGACTGGCTTGAACGTTTGAAGTTCATTTCTTTAGATTTATTATATATTTTTGTATTATTATTATTCTTATGTTTATCATGGATGTTATAAATAAAATACCAACATAAAAATACAAATATAAAACTGCCGTCACTACAAATTGAACATGTGGTTTAGGATAAAAACACTCCTCATGAGCAGTATTTTGGGCAGTTTAATTGAAGATACAGTTTTCAAAAATTTTAATTGATGAATGAAGTTAACTTTTCCTTTTGTGAAAATTGATCAGATTGTACATATTTTTGGAAAAGCAAACATGTGAAAATGGAATTTTCCAAATCTCTCTCATACTTCTCACTTCTCTGGAAAGAAAAGTCTCTATAAAACAAATTTACATTTATTTTTTTCAATAATCAGTGATATTTGCAAATGGCTGAAGATGTCATAAAAAGGATTTGGAATGTGGTACACACACATAATTTCTTTCGAGATACCCCCAACTCTGCAAACAGCACTACACAGTCAACAAAACCATCCTGAACACAAGCAGAAATATTGTACAAATTTTGTTTGATGCAACTGGAATGTCATTGTTGGCTCATTATATTGTTTAATGATGGCATACACCCAAGATATGAGATGATACCACTTTTCTTGGTTTCATAACTAATTTGAGTATCATATAACTTAATACTAGAAATAAAATATCTATCTAGTTCGAATATAATACACATAAGATGCAAAACGGTTTCCACATAGGCCGTTTTAATAAACACTGATGAATTTTTTCTGAAAGTTATTTAGTAATTTCCCTTTGAGTTGTAGATAATTTCAGTAGATTTGATTTGGAAATATTGTTTGTTCTCAATAATACCACAGTTTACTTCTTCAAAATATTAGGCCAAAAGCCTTCTTCTGAATAGACCTTTAACTGAAAATGAAATTAGGACCAATGCTAAAAGATTAAATAAGAAATATTTTCTCAAAAACTCTTTTTTACACATTCAGGAAGGATGGTACTCTCAAATTCGATCAGAATGTTGTAAGAGAAAGAGACAAATAGTTCAGTGGTATGAATCACTACATGACAATGTCTAGAAACCAAAAAACAAATTGAATTTTCTTAATATTTCGGAAACTTTTTTTTTCTAAAATGAGTCCCCATCTATAACAAAGACTTTAGATTCTTATTCAGGAAACAATTTGTTGTGAAATTTTCACTAAACAGTTTCACAAAACTGTGACAAAAAGTGTTTCGCTGTACAATAGCTCCTTCAAGCGTGTCTATACTAAATTCATTTTTATTGTTATGTAAAAAAATAAACTATACTGCCACCCTTGATTGAATAAATGTATAAACAAAAAATGATTAATTATGACGCAGAAATTTTGGGAACTTTAAGTTTTTATTAGCTATCTGTGTGTTTTTTTAAGACATATAAGTATTACGCACATGAGGTTAAGTGGTAGAACAAACCTGTACTGTTCTACACTGCAATTTTGAACTTCACCTTTTGGTTGTTATATCCTATGTCACCCAATAAAGTCCATTACTATTATTATTATTATATAAGAAAACTACCATTCTTTGAAAAGCAACCTTTTAAAGATCAACAATTTGTCTACTTTCAGAAAATAAGTGATTAGAAAGGAATCTACTATAGAAATTTTGAGAAATATGTAGGTTGTTAATATTCCAGAAGAATATGGAAGTTTGTGAACCAATTTGTAATTTCATCAACCAAGTTCAGTGAAATTTAGTACAAATTACAACAATATAATTAATCATTAAATATCTTTTTACACTACATGTCTTAGTTTTCCCCTCAGATTATTAAATTCTCAACAAATACTTATAACATGTTGATAAGAGAAGTTGTGTATCCAGAAGGTTTCTCAAATAAAATTTATGATTCAAATTGAACCTTCTATCCCTATTACCAAAATATATAGAATAACAACAGAATATATGATGTGACTCAAACAAATTAAATTGATATGTTTTCTTCAGATAAATATTACAAATATTCAAAAGGACCGTTGATCTACTCATCAGATCAATTACATAATCTCAGTTTATCTTTTTATTAATATGTAGTACCTTCAGGAATGTAAAGCGATAAATAATAAAACCAAAGCAGATTCCATTTCACCTCCACTTTCACGCAGATCATCTTGACGTTTCACTCACCCTGTATGAAAGTTACAGATGTAATTTTTCATAAATTTATAATATTATTCTAAAGAGTTCAACATTAACAACTGTTTCAGGACTTTCGTTTGTGATGTTTCCCTTATTTCTCCTGCCAAAAACATTTCGTCAACGACAGTATAAACTTTATAAAAGTTGAAAACAAGATCTAATTCACAGACATTGTGGAAATATTCATTGAGCACCTCTACAAAGTTATGTATTGCTTCTAAATAACATAAATTATTGTCGTTCACATCTACGCATATGCAGAAGTACAGGCCAGCATATCGTCGATATACAATTTTGAAGTTACGAAACTGAAAAATAGATAAATATTAAATTCTATGAGTAGCAGTGGATGAATCATAAGTAGGAGGGATTCAATTGTGAAAAATATTGGAACCAATACTCTAAATTACAAGGTGCATAAAAATAAACCTGTCATTAGTGAGGAGACTTGTCTTGGAATTTTACCACAAAAAAAATATGAGGAAGGATTCAAGATATTGATTAGGCACAACAAATTTTCATGTTTTGACATTTTTTATTAATGAAAAAATTTTTGAATGTCAGCTTTTCTTAATTATTTTGTCAGAATGGCCAATTTCATTCATGATTCGAATATCGTCAATTTGATTTTTGCTTTTTGTCCCAAAAAATGTTATTAATCTTTACATTTCAACTAAATTAACTTTTTCCAAGAGACATTTCATAACAGATGTTAGGGGGCCACACTTGATCCAAAGTTTTTTCATATATCCATCTAGCTTAGCAAAAATATTATCAAATGAATTTTGTGGATCTTTATGGAGTTCAACTCAGTGTAAATTTTATTTGTTTTTTCTGTCAACAGTATCTAACTTGATTAGTCATATCAATATGTAATATGATGGGTTCGACATCAATATTATTGAGGCCTTCCTCATTTGTAACATAAAATGTGGTTAATTATTGACTGATCTATGTATTCTAATAACTTCAACTTTCATTTCATTCAAATAATTATAATTTTCATTCAATTCTTTATTCAAGAGATATTTTGATCACCTACAGTTTCCAGATTGTTTAGGGTTTTTGTACCAGCAGAGCTAGCAAAGGTAATACTTTTACGCTGAAGAATAAAATTCGTGATCACTCCAAATTAGGCTCTTAATGTTTTGGAACTACGGAATGCTATAAACATGATATTCGATTTCGAATCCAGAATAATACTAGAAAGTCATAGGTACTGATTTTGCTCACCTCAACAAAATTCGTATGTTTGGCATCTCTTACAGTTACTACAGCATGAACTTCTTCAATGAGTTTCTGTTTCTCATCATCGTCGAAATTCATATACCATTTGGCTAATCTTGTTTTACCAGCTCTGTTTTGAATGAGTATGAAGCGAATCTATAACAAATAACAGATTGGATTGTTACTTTATAGGAGGCGTTTTCCTTAGTAAAAGAAACTGATAAATGTAATTTCCAAGCGTAGATTAAAATCCCACTGTTTCGAGATATAAATATTCAAACTTTTTACCATTTTCCAAGATGATTTATAACTTGTTCTTTGATGTTATGAAGATTTTTCAAAAACTTATACCCTAAATATCTTCAAAATAGAAAGATTTGACGTTCTTGTAGATGCAGTGTTGCCAATGTAAAATAAAAATTAAATTAAGAAATGCTAGAGACTAATGATAGCTTTCTATTTATGGCTGGCGAACTGACATTTGTTTCATCTATGTCACAAAACAGCTGTTTTGTGATATATGTTATTACCTTTCTTTGGTGAACATCTTTTCAATAACCTATGTTCATGTGTCATCCCATTCTTAGTATACGCGTTAACATTAATACATCTTAATGGCGCTACTGTCATAGATATGCTACTGTTCAGGTTACAATAGTGATATGAATTTCTCAAACCAAAAAATGGTATAAATAGTATTGACAGTATCAATAATTTCGACAGGGATTTCTACAAATAATCTTTGATTTCTGTTTCGAAAACATTGTCATAAGAGACGGAAGGAAACAACGGAGGGAGAAGGAAAGTAGTATTATTTTCAAATGTTACAACAGATGAGCAGAGTTCTCGTCCCAGTTTGTTCTCCTAGTTGGGTAAATGTCGTATATTCATGGTATCCTTCTAATTTCGCCAAAGGCTAGTCAATAGTTGAATCATTATATTTGTAAATTATTTCAGGATGTTTTCTAGATGTAAATTATAGAGCGACAAAAAGGTGAAACTGAATAAAAGTCTAACGTACTTTCCCAATCAACAAAACTACAGGACCTTTCACGACGCGCAGTTCATTATTCATTACTCAATAAAGCTATGGAAACAATTTTTTTCATAATATAAAATTGACAATGCAGAATTTTTTATCCCGCTGAAAAATCTACACCCCTGCCGATATCTGGTGAACAAATAGATTACTTTCCTTAGTTTCAATATTCCATAGAGAGGGCCATTCAGTTATCAAATTTCATGTATCCGAGGATTCCTAAAAATTGTTTTGTCTAATAAAATGTTTTGAAACATAGAAAACCTAAAAATTAACCTTGTTCACTTCCAAATAACAGAAATAACTCCCTCAAATTGTACTCACAACCTTGGTAGTTCAAGAGACTTGGGCAAAAACTGAAACTTTTTTTTTCACACATTTTGGAATGGAATGGAGTCATATTTGAATCGGTCATCAAGACGATTCAATAACTATCAAACGCAGTCTCTTAGATGGTACTTGGAAAGTCATGGGTGAGTTTATTCCCAATAAACAATTATGTAACTATTTTGAATCGTTCCAACGACAAACCCTAATATGCCTGATAGTTCAGAAACTGTTTTCCAAAATCATGTAACTAGTAAACTAACTCAATATTTTGTCAACCTATGCATTTTGATATTTATATAAGTGGTATGCAGTCATAGTTTTTTTTTAACCGAGTTAAAACTAATGAGACTGTGTTCATAATTTATAACAATTAAGTTCTGAGGGATTTAAAAGGTTAAAATTGAAATACCTTCCATTCTGTATAATTTTCAATTGCAGTATTTATCAAAAATTGTCATGGGAGCTTTATAACTTCTACTTTCTGAATATAGAATTCAGTTACATTTCAGTCAGTAATGCTTAATGAAATGTTTATGCAAGTCATACTTCTAGAACATTTACAATACAGACATTTTGAAATGGTTAATAAACTGTGATGCCAAAGCAAAAAATATTGTGGAAGGTGAAAATACTCAAAGAATGTTGATGAAAAATTGACTTTCCTGTACAAAAAATGAGCTTCATTCAATATAATGTAATACTTTTATGATTATATTCCAATACCTACATTACAATGCATACATTTTTAGATAATTAATAAGCACTGACGTCAGAAAATAATAATGCTTATACAAGTCATGCTAATACAACAACTATTATATTCCAATTCCTAAATTTCAATAAAAATTTCTTGAGATAATCAACAAGCAATGCTGTCAAAACTAAAGACAAATCTTCTAATATATAAAAATGTTGTATAAGAATATACAGTATAACTCCAATTATTTTGCCAAAAAATTGCCATTTTAAATGTAAAACACCTGTAGAGGTTTACGCGGCAAAAAAAACAAACTTTGTTTAATAAAATTAAAAGGTGAAACTGGAACTTCTGACGTAGAATAAATCCAAAACAACTACTTTTCCCAATCAGCAGAAATGCAATACTCTTCTCGACGCGCATTTCACCAACCAAGTTGGCGTCTTTAGGAGATGAAGGAAACTAATGGCGAAACACGTGTTGAGAAGATTATTGCATTGCTGGTGTATGGAAAAATGCTTGTTTCGGAAACTCTAATGTGATATTTCAAACAATATATTTCTGTAAACATCAATGGACTACAGTATATTAGATATGGTACAATACATTTCAGTCAAAGTCAGGAAATGCTTTATTTCCATTCGACCTCCAAATGTGCATTGTTTGCAAGGTAATTTTGCCTGAAAAATCTAAACTCTTATAATTCGTTCCATAAAAGTGATCTGGATGAGGAGAAATCTGGATAGTTGGATTTCACATAGTTGGAGTTTCACTGTACCAACTATTCGGCTATTTCATTGTGACTACTTAGATTGTTAAGCGATGTTTTTATTTCTGAAAGTAATTTCTTAGAAATAACATACACAAAATATAACTGATATTAGAATATGCTGAATTGTATTGATGTCAAGTGAAAACTAATATTTTCACAACTACCTTTTTTTGAACAAAAATTTCCAGGCAGGAAAAGAGGAAGGCCTGCTGTAGGCGACAAAGCAAAAGAGACCCTCTTGCAAATGGAAGAAGATAACCAAGTTCTGTTGATGTTCAGGGACTATGCCAGTACCTTAGATGAGAAGCATGACCGCCATGAAAGAATTGTGAAACAAAGTCGAGATATCACCATTGAGGCCAAAAGGATCATTTTTTTACTACATAATACCAATACTGACATGTGAGTGGACTCTTCGAAAAAAAGTTTTTTATCATGGTACTCATAACTCTAAATTATGTGTAAAATTTCAACTAGATTTAGTATCCATTGAAATTATAGTGTGAGGTGTTTGTGATTATGAAGTTCAAATAATTATTTTTTCAACAACATAACACAAGGATCACTTTTTACAAAAATTGGAGGAACAAAGTGTTTTATTCTCGAAATAGTTTTTCTACTTTGCAGGTGATAACCCAAAAACATGTTTGTGAAAGGCGTCAACAGCTTCTTGAAATGATGAAAATCTATGTCCATGTATTTTTCATTCGGAGAATTTGGAGCATCAATTAGGAGAATAGGGATTTCACTAAATAAAAAAAATTTAAGATTTGTATTGCTGATGTACATTTACTAATAATTTAAAAAAATATTACATCTATTATGTTGAATACTCTTAAAATAGTAAATGTAACAACCATACTCAAAAAATAAAATATCTCTGTTGATGTGCTGGGTGGGAACTGATATTGTCATGATGGAGAATGACAGTTTAGGTTGTTTTTTCTAATTTTGTCAATAACTTTCAGCAAACAAATTGAACCATTTAGGATCAACAAATCTTCATTCATTCATTGCTTGAGACATTAGAATTATTTGAATTTCTTGATGGATTGGTGTAGAAATATTTGAATATGAATGAAAATAAGTGTGTGTTATCGTTGTCAGTCATCAATTGAATATAATTATTCCATAAATAGCTTATCACTGAAATATGTTACAAGATAATAAATATCTTGGAGTTATATTTGACACAAAATTGCCATTCTTGAATCATCTTACTAGAGTTGCATTCAAATGTCTCAAACTTTCATGATATCATTAAATTAAATAATTGTCAATTAATTTCAAATATAGTTATGTGAAAAATGGATCTAATATTGCTGTAACCATAATATCCCATTTGCAAAATCATTTTGAATACTGCCAATCGCAAGAACTTATTTTGAAACTTCTCTAAACATAGAACCGGGGCATAATCAAGAATCAACCTTATCTAAGAACAGAACAAAGTCTTCAGAATATGTGCTTTACCAACTCTAAAGATATATAATAATAATGATTATTGGAATCCTTGGTGGAATGATGCCCTCTCAACTCTTGGATCTCAAGATCATTCCAGCTTGCAGCACAAAGGCAGAAATCTTAGCCGGGTAATTGCAAAAGGCTGTCCTTCTTCCCCAATGCTCACTATCAACAAAGGGTCTGGTCCTGATGAAGTGCCCGTCATCATACTCCAAAAGTGCGTAGATGAACTCGCACCAGTGTTTTGCAGACTTTTCATCTTGTCCTTGCTGGAAGATTGCTCGCGTTCAGCCTATTCCCAAAAAGTGCAAGAAAAATCTTCCAAATAACTATAGACCAGTCGCTTTGCTATTAGTGATATCAAAAATCATGGAGAAAGTCGTAAATCACCTATGTCACCCATATTTGGAATAACGCAATAGAGAAACATGGAGAATCAAAAGCTGTGGCGTTTGATATATTTCTAAGGCCTTTGACTGTGTGTGACATGAGGGTTTGCTGGCCAAACTTCGATGCTACGGTTTGTTGGATTATTTTTTTGTATGGCTCTCCAGCTTCCTGAAAGAACGTTCCCTGCAAGTGGCCATCCATGGATATATGTCTAATACGTTTACCATCAACGCTGGTGTTCCCCAGTTATCCATATTGTCTCTAACCCACTTTTTATTGTATATCAACGACTTATTAGAAATAAAATAAGAATCCAATATATTGTTTTGCTGATGACAGCACACTTGTGTCATCATTCCATTTGTATTGGAATCCTGGAGGACATCGGCTGCGGATGCACATCTTAATGAGAAAATAACCAGGTTCAATTCAGGGCCAGAAAAACCCAGGCATCGGTTTTTTCCAAAAAGATGAATGTCTCCGAAGCGGATATAATAATGACAGCAGAGACAATTCGGCTTTCTGTTTCAAATTTGTTGGGGGTTAAAATGGACACCAATATGTATTAGCACAATCATGTAGCTGGAATTGCAAAGGCTGCTTCTCAAAAGCTTGGAACACTGTTTCTAACCAGAAAACTCACACACCTCAGCAACTTTTGATGCTTTATAAAGCTCAGATCAGACCTTATTTGGAATATTGTTCACATGTATGGAGCTCCGCCCCTAAGCATACCCTGAAGTTGCTAGATTCCATCCAGAAAAGAGCCATCCGCCTGATTGGAGACGCGATCATCACTTGCAATCTTGATAGTCTGGAACATCAAAGAAGGGTTGGAAATTTGTCTCTCTTCTACAGATACTTTCATGGAAAGTGTTCAAGTGACTTGGCACATTTTATTCCACCAAGAGCGCTACATATCAAAAATACGCTACGGACTGTGACTGCTTATCATTTTGAGGTTCAACTTAGTACAAATCGAACTTCACAGTTTAAGAACTCTTTCATTTGGAGAACTGCGTTTATGTGGAATAAACTTCCTGAGAAGGTTTTTCCAAATGGTGATTCAAATTCAATGTGAATCGCTACTTTTGCATAGGCACCTCTCTCAGAGCGCCTCAAAGACTTTCCTGTAGTGCTTGAGTTTTATCCTTAAAAAAGTGGTCAGTTGCAAAGCCAAGCTCCGACANTGAAATTTATGTTTCTAGGTTTTTCCACAGATATCTGGTGTAATACCTCTCAATTTGTACCTATTATTCGATCCAGTTTTGAATTTTATTAGTATGAGGCCTCTTTGAGAAGCTGTGATAAGAATTTTATAGGTTGTATGTGGACTCTTCAAACTCCAGTTGTAATATCAACCAGTCTAATGAAAATTGGACAATCTGGTTAATTATGAAATATCTACTATTGATCAAGTTTTAGTTACATGTAACCGTAATATCTGAAGAAGATACTGACAGAAACAATTTTTCACACCTGCAGGGCCCTCAATTTTAATTAAGGGCCCTGCAGAAACTGCAGGGTCTAATAATATAAGCATGGGCATCTTCTCTTACCAAGACGCCATCTATAGAATACAGCTTTTACTTGCAGTGTAAATGAAAGCTGCAGAGAAATATAAAAGGTGATTTCTTGTCCGGAAGTCTGTGTCGAAACTTCAATTTGTGAAAGACTACTACTACTACTACTTTTTTATTTTGAGATTTCTGTCTTCGTGAGTAGAGATATTCATTCTTACCTTGAAACTCGTCCTTCAAAAACATCCGAGTCCAAGGTGCATTCGTAGTTGTGCCTAGTACGCCTAGTACCGTTAATGAGACTATGGTAGGTCAAAACAGTGCTTTCTGGTATTGGATCATGAAGTGTCATTTTGCGTGAAAGGTACAGACTAAGTCCAGGCGATTTCTCATATGACAGTCAATGTTGGGGCTTGGTTTTGCAATAGACCACTGCGAGAACCCTGCTTACTTATACTCAGTCTTATCCTTTAAATAAAGTCGAGGCCAACAATGCTATCATGGTCCAGCAAAAATATTTTATTTTAGAGCTTTGGTTTTGTCAAGTTATAACGATGCTCACAGAGATAGTTATTAATCTGAACTGCAGAGATAGTCGAAATTATCGTTGCTTCTTCAATATAATTTTTTTCAGGTCTAGTGGCACCTGGAAATAAGGAGCTGTCAAGAAAAGCATTCGTCCTTCGCCAAAGTCTGTCAAAAATGGAACTTGTCTGCTATAACATCCAAATTAGAGGAACTGAAATTCCTAAACATATGCTTATGAGTGTAATTGAATCCACCAATGTAGATGCCAATGAGGATGAAGGATTTTATTAATATTTGATTCAAAGCCACCTGCATGACACTCGTTCAGTGTTTTACATTCCTACCTCTGTAATTTTTCATCATATGAGAGGAGTTCAGTTGACTTGCATTGTTTGAATTTACAGTTTTTGGTAATATAAGGAAATACAATTCTCAATCCTCACTTGTTTATTATAGCATAAACATACCCATAATGATTCCCATAAAGAATGATGATGTAGTTATTTTCTGAGTTGAAAATACCTATTTATGAAATTGAAGTAAACAAATTGTCTAGTCATGAAATACTGTTTGAAATTAAAGAAAAATAAAGTACACTGTTGGTTGGTAATGTTTTCTATTATATATTTCTACATTTATTCTACTGTCCGCATTAGAAATATAACTTGCTATGTACCACCTGTCGAGCCATAAAAAATTATCACAATTGAAACCTATGACAGACAATACCTATTTATGAAATTGAAGTAAACAAATTGTCTAGTCATGAAATACTGTTTGAAATTAAAGAAAAATAAAGTACACTGTTGGTTGGTAATGTTTTCTATTATATATTTCTACATTTATTCTACTGTTCGCATTAGAAATATAACTTGCTATGTACCACCTGTCGAGCCATAAAAAATTATCACAATTGAAACCTATGACAGACAACACTTTTATAAAATATTATTCCTACATATACCTTGAAAGAAATAATGAAATCTTGAATATGCCACGAATTTGATTTGATAATAATAATAATTAGGATGGGCAACACTTTGTTACCATCCTTACACTTGGCTGCACCATACTGATGATGGGCCAAAAGCCCGAAACACGTGTCTATGGTTTGCCACTTTTTTGAGTGCTATGTCTAATTAATAACTCCTTTATCTATATCAAGCCACTCAATAACATTCGTATTTGTATTATTTCGTGGACCCGGATGTCACGCAGGTAGCTATAGCTGCCTCCGTGGTGATTTTTATAGTTTTCTTGTAGACACAAGATCTATTAACTGAAACCACAAATGTGCGGCTGGCTCCTGCTGGTGGCTCCGTGCATTTGTATTTATTTCTTCTGGTAACNTTAAGAATGACATGAGTTTTCAACACAATAAAAAATATTTTAGATACAATTATAGATAAAGAATCCATATAATCTGATGGATCCCTAATCCGTCATTGGTCCATTCAAAGCGAAGCGCATTTCTTTGAAGCATTCCGTCAGAAATTTTCT